TTGCTCTTCGCATCTGGTCTTTTTGACGCATGTGTATCACCACTTGTATGGTTATCAGGTGGCTCTGTTGATGGTGTCCCACCTGCAGTCTTCATCTCATCATCTCCTGGCACTTGCACCCACCTACACTCACCCACCGGCTCTTAGCACTCGCCCACCTATACATTTCCAGCACCCACCTACCCACTCCCACCTACCCACTCCCAGTATCCACACCCATCTACCCACTCCCAGTACCCACACCCACCTGTTCCTAGTACCCCATCCACCTACTCCTGGCACCCCATCCAAATACTCCTGGCACCCCATCCAAATACTCCTGGCACTCCAATTCACCCATTCCTGGCACCCACCTGCCTGCGTACAGCATCCCGATAGGCTGCTGGCTGCTCACTGCTTGCTGATTTTCCTTTAGGGAGCCCCTTCGGGCTCCCTGAAGCTATCTTCCTAAGATTGCTTCATACTGAAAGGTCTCGTCAGCCACAGCTAGTTGTGTTTGGCCTGCCAGGGACTAGAAGCTGGCCTCCCACACAGAGGCACAGATAGTAGGTGACAATCAGCCCCCTCATCAGAAAAAGCCTCAGGAATGTCAGTTCAGCTTTTCAGATAACTGGAAGGTTCACAGCAAGCAAAGCCCTGAAAACCCACCAAACAATTACTGCAAATGAATCATATGAAATTGGGGATTCACTCGAGTGATCTCAAAACACGCTAGTACCGATACTACCACTAGGCAGCCCGGCCCTGGCTCCCAGGCAGCTCCCCAAGTCAGTTCTGTTCCTGATGTTGGTGTCACCATTACCAACTTGTAATGCTTCTGGTCAAGCCAGCTCATGGGCGAGCCCCAAAGCTTCATGCTTAGTGCTAGCTAGCCTCTCTTCTATGTGCTTGTCTTGTGGGGACATTTGCTTTGTTGTATAGTTTCCAACTTTTAGTGCAGCTTCACATTCGTGTTTTGTTTCTGGCTTGTTGTGTGGGCTTGGCTCTTTGTGCATATTGAGCTGCATGTAATTAGGGTTTTCTGTCCTCTGTGCCTGATAATACTGCCATTGCAGAGCCAGAGTTATCTTCTCTGGCATCTTCGGGGTTCGTCTCTGTTCCCCATTAATTGGTTACGGTTGGTGGCTATTCATTCGACGAGTGGTCCATGTGTGTGGGGTGCCCACTTGGTTTTCCTTTGTGCCCTGGGAATCCCTCAGATCTCTGCCGTGGTCCTTATGGAGTGGCCCGGTGTGCCGAATCTTTCGTGTTGCGAGGTTGGGGGTTGTTCATCGTCTTTGATACCTGTTGATGATCATCCTTTCTGCCCCCACCATGCTGCCTGTTGGCTCAGTGATGTTTACAACCCTGAGTCTTGTGAGGTGTATTTTCACTTGGTGGATTTTGCCTCCCAGTTGGATGTCCATGTGAAGTGTTTGTGGCATATTGATCATCTGAAAGCCATGGAGTTGGCTCCTGTGGTGTTTAGGGTCCTGGAATTGGAGGTGATGGTCATCTCAGTAGACAAGGTATCAAGGGGCCTGACAGCAGAATGGACAGAGCTCGAGGTTCGTAGTCCTAAGGGTCCGGGTTCGATCCCTGGTAGAGGCAGAAACAAATGGGCAGAGTTTCTTTCACCTTGATGCAGTAAATTCACCTAGTTCACCCAGCAGTAAATAGGTACCTGAGAATTAGACAGCTGCTACAGGCTGCTTCCTGGGAATGAGTGTGTGTCAAAATTAGGATTAAGGACTTGCCCGAAACGCTATGTATGCTAGTGGCTGTACAAGAATGTAAGAACTCTTGTATATATACATAAATAAATCAGCCTTTTCTGGGAGTGGTCCCTTCCATGTCGGCAGCAGAGGTAGTTGAGGCTTCATATTGGCATGTCCCGAATCATTCGCGGTTCAGGGACTGACTCGGTTTTGTTGTTGGGCATCTGATTTACCACTTTCGTTGCCTTCTGTTCAGGTTGAACCTGGCACCTCGTGTGTTCACACGCCTTACGCGGGTCGTGGTAGCCCGTTTGCGTCTCTTAGGTGTTCGGGTGTTGGCCGACCTCGACGACTGGCTGGTTTGGGCTCCTAGCCGGTCGGCTTGTTTGCTAGCCAGGGATTTGGTTCTTTCCCAGCTCGCCGGGTTCGGGTTCTTGGTGAACTGGAGGAAGTCCCATCTGGTCCCCCTCAGGTTCGGACTTGGCTAGGTCTCGTTTGGGACTCTCAGACCGTCTCTTTGTCTCTCCCTCCGGAGTCTCTCCTGCGGCTGTGGTCCCGCCTTTGTCTGTTTCTGGTGTGCCCTCGAGTCACCCGGCGGTTGCTCGGGGGGCTGTGCGGGAGCCTGAACTTTGCGATGGTAGTTTACCCACCGGGTCGGGTTTGGCTTTGTCGGCTGTTCTGGTTCCTTCAGGGGTCACCCCTTCTGCCTCTCTCGCTATAGCTTGGTTCGACCCCTGGGGGCCTTGCGTCGGCTGTTGCGTCGCCGGCTTCCTCTTCGGGTTTTTCAGGGTTCAGTGCCTTGGGGCCTGTCCGAGCCCTCACTCGATGTGTACACGGATGCGTTGTCTCTCGGCTGGGGCTTTGTAACCAGTGCTCACCAGGCCAGCCAGGGGCGTTGGGGTCCATCCTTCCATCGAACTCACAGCACGGTGTGGGAGTTCGCGGCAGTGTGGTTTGCTCTTCGGAGGATTCGGGTCGCCCGCAGATCAACGATTCGGCTCCATTCGGACTGCTCTCCGGTGGTTCATTGCCTGAACCGCGGGGGTTCGATGCGGTCCTTGTCTCTTTGGGGTTGGTCGCTTCGGGTGACTTGTCTGCTGAGTTCTCGGGGTTTGGCTCTCCTGGCGGTTCACGTACAGGGAGTGTCCAACCTCTTGGCCGACGCCCTGTCTCGCTTCGTTCCCATCTCCACAAAGTGGACGGTCGACGACGATTCCTTCCGTTGGCTTTGCCAGACGTTCAGGCGCCCCGAGGTGGACCTCTTCGCGTCGGTGTGGTCGAGGCGCCTTCCCTTGTATGCGGCGCCTTTCCCCAATTGTGAGGCCGTCTGGGTTGATGCCCTCCGGCTGGACTGGTCGAGGTAGGGGTTCCTGTACCTCTTTCCCTTGGTTCAGCTGTTGCTCCAGGTCCTGACTCGCTTGGAGACTTACCAGGGGAGAGTTGTCCTCCTGGCCCCTTGGTGGCCAGCCCAGCCTTGGTTTCAGGTGCTGGTTGCTTGGTGTCCGAACCCGAGGGTTTTCCCGCGGCTCCGCCTTTTTCAGCAGATCGGGCCAGTACGTCACGTGGCTGGTTCGATCTTCTCCTCGAGTCTTTGCGTATGGGTTTTTTTACTCGAGTCAATCATCATCTCTATGGTGATCAGGTGGCCTCTTTGTTGGTGTCCCACCTGAGGGCTTCTTCTTGGCGGCAGTATGAAGTTTCCTGGCGGTCCTTCTGTTTCTTTTCGCGTCTTCGTCGTGTTAGTTCGTTGTCTGTTAGGGTGGTCTTGTCCTTTCTCTCTTGGTTGTTTCAGGACCGTCATCTTATGCCTAACACTGTCGCCTCGTATCGTGCAGCGCTGGCGGAGCCGCTTTAGCTTGCGTTCGGTATCGATGTTACATCTGCGCCATTTCACAAGCTGTCTTGTGCCTTGTTTCACCTCCGGCCTGCTCATGCACCGCCTGAGCCGTCCTCGTCTTTGGACAGAGTGCTCACTTACCTTTCGTCTCCTCATTACGTTGTGGCGCCTTCGGTCCGGGATTGCTTCTCCAAGGCTCTTTTCTTGTTGGTATTAGCCTCTGGGGGTCGGGTCGGGGAGCTTCATGCTCTCCTCCGGCACAGGGGGTTTCTGCTCTTTTGGTCGTGGAGATTGTTTTGTTTGCTTGCAGCCGTCTCCTTCTTTTCTGGCGAAGAATGAGACTGGTGCATTCCGGAGGGGTCCGTGGGTGGTTGATGCTTGGTTGGTACGGCAGGGGTGCATCGTGTATTGTGTCCGATTGTGGCGCTTCGCCGTTATTTGTGCGCCACGGCTTCTATGTCCGGGGACGGGGTTTGGGTTGATCTGGTTTCCCTTCTTCCCTGTTTGCGGGTTCGGGTCTCCCAGGTCGTCCGCAGGGGTATGAAGTCCAGCAAGCCTGCAGTCTATCCCCGTGCCCACGACGTCCGTAAGTTCGCGGCTCTTGCTGCTGTTTTTGGGAATATGTCTTGGTCTGATATTCAGGCGCAGGGATTTTGGCGGTCGAACAGGGTCCTGGCTGCTTGTTACCTCATGAATGTCCCTGGGCCTCGTCGGGCCTGTGTTGCTTTGGGTCGGCAGTTGCAGCCAGTTGTCTCGACTTCAAGTTGAGGAGTGAGCGACAACCGCCTCCTGGGTAAGTCCCTCTTTTTCTGTCTGTGGGTAGTTAGCTCCGGGGAGCCGACGGGGCTCCCCCCAGAAAACCAGCATTGAATGTAATGAAACGCCATTTTCTGGGTGAGTCCCAGAGGCTCCCCGGCATCCCTCCCTCCCTCCCGGTCAGTGATTTTTCGTGTTTTTGACATCCAGCTTCAGAACTGAGGTGTTGGTAGCCGGTGTGAAAGGTCTGGGGCTCCCCCTATCCCCTCCCAGGGAGGGGGGAGCTGCGCAGACAGCGGCGTGGTGACGTGTGATGTCACACTAGTTTGCTTGTTTTCTGTTGGGGAGTTCTATCGACTAGTTCGACTTTTGGTAGCAATTTTAACCAGAATAGGGGTTTGTTTTGAGGGGCTTACCCTTCTGGGTGCCTGTTCCGGTCAATGGCAGACATAGAATGCTTCCAACCACACGGGGGTTTCTATAGGCCATTGCTCCCTATGCCTCTCTGAGGGGGCCCGGTTCTGGCTGTGGTCCCCGGTAGGCCTAAGAACTCCGTACACATGACTGATGCCAAAGTCTGACATCAGCATATCAGCCTGGTAAAGCTCCAGGGAGCCTCTGGGACTCACCCGGAAAATGGCGTTTCATTACATTCAACGCTGGTTTTCTGTAATCTTTGATAATAAATCCATCTTGTTCTTTTTTTTCAGGTTGGAAAGTTGTCATTTTTTCGGCAAAATGCAGCCATTATAACTAGGAAGAAAGAACAAGCTGCTGAACGTCTCAATGAGCTTCGTGGCGAGTTAGCAAACCTTCAGGAGGATATGAGGGTAGGTTAGAATTCTTTCAGAAATATTTTTGATTTAGCATCTTATGCCTATGTATCTTTAATTATTGTTACACAAAGAATTAAAATATTGTATAAAACTACTAATGTGCTCAAACACAGGTACAGTACTAGTAATGATCAGCCATTGGGTACATTTATTTTAGTCTTTATCCAGCATTTCAGAACTAAAGAAATTAGATGAAGGATTTTATTATAAAATAATAGTTTTCTTTGTACCAAATTTCAAGACAGCAAAGACTTTTCCAAATTCTTTGAGGGGGAAAGTAATTTGGATACGCAATCTTCCATTGATCACTCGTTTTTTGACGGCACATGTACTGCAGTGCCACTTGATGGTTCAATATGTTTACTTGGCCTCCTCATTTCCTTTTAGTTGAACACTGCTAACCTTGTACAGTTTTATTATTTTTTAGCTAATCCCCTTGTTGCTCACTGGATCCAACAACCTTTATGGGTCCATAGATACACACATTGCACCTACCAGGTTTTAATCACCTGTTCAAACACCATGACAAATGACATTCCAAATTGCCTGGTTACTCTATTGAGAAAGGGGAACATTGGGAAATATAACTCAATGCACCACTGAGAGTAACCTCTGTATCATTGATATGAATGAATATTAGACTCAATAAACCCACTGCAAATGAAACTGAAATCAAATAATGTCGATTATCGCTTGCTAACTACTGGCTGGGCAATAATTCACAACACTGGCTACCACCTGATGGCAGCATCAAGAGCAGGGTCTAAAGAATTGTTAAGTCTACTAGTTACCTGACAGTGTGCTTAGTTGCTGCCTCCTGGGTCTGCAGTAGCCACTAAGATATCTTTGTCCAGTGGCTTGTCCTGCTTTACTGTCTTGGTACTTTCCACTAGCAGCTTTGTTTCAGGGTTTTTTCCCTGGCACTGTTTGTGATATTACTTGGCAAACCTTAACTGGTTTGATGTCAGATTTTGCTGTGTGTGCTGTTTTTAGGGCTGTGGCACAGTGTTTTGTAGCTCTAATGGCTACACCTTCTGCCTATAGCACTCATCTTACATGGTACAGCATCAGAATCACACTTGTATGTGTAACTACCTAAGTGTAGTTACAGGATGAGAGCTACGCTCGTGGTGTCCCATCTCCCCAGCACTCTTTGTCATATAATGCTTTGAAATTACTGACGGTTTTTACCTCCACCACCTTCTCACTTAATTTGTTCCAACCGTCTACCACTATTTACAAAAGTGAATTTTCGTATATTTCTCCGGCAGCTTTGTTTCGTTAGTTTAAATCTATGACCTCTTGTTATTGAAGTTCCGGGTCTCAGGAATTCTTCCCTATCAATTTTATCGATTCCTGTTACAATTTTGAACGTAGTGATCATATCGCCTCTTTTTCTTCTATCTTCTAGTTTTTGCATATTTAATGCGTCTAACCTCTCCTCGTAGCTCTTATCCTTCAGTTCTGGGAGCCACTTAGTGGCATGTTGTTGCACCCATTCCAGTTTGTTGATGTGCTTCTTAAGATATGGGCACCACACAACCGCTGCATATTCCAGCTTTGGTCTAATAAAAGTCATGAACAATTTCTTTAGTATTTCTCCATCCATGTATTTAAAAGCAATTCTGAGGTTAGAAAGAGTAGCATATGCTCCTCGCACAATGTTCTTAATGTGGTTCTCAGGTGACAGTTTTCTATCTAGAACCACCCATAGATCCCTTTCTTTGTCGGAATTCTTTAAAGATTTCTCACATAATTTATAGGTTGTGTGGGTCTATGTTCTTCAATTCCACATTCCATAACATGGCATTTATTCACATTAAATTCCATTTGTCAAGTGTTGCACCATATACTTATTTTGTCCAGGTCTTCTTGAAGGGCATGACAATCGTCTAGGTTTCTTATCTTCCCTATTATCTTAGCATCATCAGCAAACATGTTCATGTAATTCTGTATTCCCACCGGTAGATCGTTTATGTAGACAATGAACATTACCAGTGCAAGAACTGAACCCTGTGGTACTCCACTCGTAACCTTCCTCCAATCCGATACCTTGCCTCTGATTACGGCCCTCATTTTTCTGTCAGGAAATTTTTCATCCATGTTAGTAGCTTACCTGTCACTCCTCCAATATGTTCCAGTTTCCAGAACAACCTCTTATGGGGAACTCTGTCGAAAGCCTTTTTTAGGTCCAGATAGATGCAGTTAACCCAACCATCTCTTTCCTGTAAAATCTCTGTGGCTCGATCATAAAAACTGAGCAAGTTCATTACACAGGATCTTCCAGATCAAAAACCATACTGTCTATCTGATATTATATCGTTTTCCTCCAGGTGTTCTACCCATTTAGTTTTAATTATTTTTTCTAATATTTTGACTATTACACTTGTCAATGATACAGGTCTATAATTAAGGGGGGTCTTCCCTGTTTCCACTTTTGTAGATTGGAACTATGTTAGCCTTTTTCCACACATCAGCTACAACTCCTGTACACAGGGATGCCTGAAAAATCAGTTGAAGTGGAATGCTGAACTCAGGTGCACTTTCTCTCAGAACCCATGGTGAAACTCCATCTGGACCAACCTCTTTGTTCTTACTTAGCTCCTTGAGCATTTTTTCCACTTCAGCTCTAGACACCTGTATGTGCTCTATGTTGTTCCCTGGAATTCTTACTGTGTCTGGTTCCCTAAAGATTTAATTTTGTACAAACACACTTTGGAACTTCTCGTGTAGTGTTTCACACATTTCCTATTCATTTTCCGTGAATCTATTTCCCATTTTCAACTTCTGAATATTATCCTTAACCTGCAATTTGTTGTTTATGAATTTATAGAATAAACCTGGTTCTGTTTTACATTTGTCTGCAATCCCTTTTTCAAAATTTCTTTCTGCCTCTCTCCTCACTGCTGTGTAGTTGTTTCTCGCATCTTTGTATCGCTGATATGTTTGGGGGTTTGGCCTCTTCCTGTATTGATTCCATTTTTGTGTCTTTTGGTCTCTGGCCCTCTCGCAATTTCTATTGAACCAATCCTGTTTCCTAGTTCTGCATCTCTGTTTTGGTATAAATTTTTGTGTGCCTTTATCATATATTTCACAAAACTTGACATACATCTCATTCACTTCCTTGTCTAGCATAAAGTCTGTCCAATTATACTCACTAAAAAAATTTCTAAGGTGGCCATAATGTCCTCTCCTGAAGTCAGGTTTTTCAACTGCTTCAACCTCCTTATTTTCTTCCAGATTATAACGCATTGCATACTTTATTCCCAAAAAGACATGGTCACTTTTACCCAAGGAAGGAAGGTACTGAATGTCAAATATCTCTTCCTCCTTCCTGGGAAATATCAAATCTAGCGTGGAGGGAACGTCCCCTTCCCTCATCCTCGTAGCTTGTTTAATTAACATGTTGATACAAGAATGTTTCCAGGATGAGGTCTACAAATTTACAGGTCCAAAAATCTTCTGTTTTAGCTTCATATGCTTCCCAGTCTATGGATTTCAAGTTGAAGTCACCGACTATCAAGAGTTGTGATCTATCGTTATCCGCTCTTGCTATAATCTCTCTCATTATTGTTATAAGACCTTCGCGTTTACTATCTAGCTCCTCCATAGACCATGTGCTGCTTGGTGGTGGACTATATGCATTTATGATCATTAGTTTATCATCGTCATGGCAGATCTCTAGTGCTATTATGTCAACTTCTTGTGGATTGGCAGTCATTATTTCTATCACCTTTAGGTGTTCTTTCACCAGCACAGCAACGCCACTGCCTTTCCTAATTTTTCTGTCCCGTCTCCAAATTGAGTAGCCCCTTGGGAATATGACCTCATTTAAATAACCTCTTCAAGTTTTGTCTCTGTGAGTGCAACAATGTCTGGTGTCTGCAGCTGTATTACATCACTTAACTCCAGTATCTTCGATCTTACTCCATGTTGGTGTATGCAATCTTCAGGACCTTGTTCCCCCTCTCCTTATTCTTCACTCCCCCTCTCTATTGATTTTGTTGGTTTGCCTTTATGTACCACTTTACTGGTCTGCTTATCCCTATCACTTTGTAGAAAAAAGAATTGATTTCTTCTTCATTCCTGCTCTCATTTAAACTTTTTGCCTCGGCGAGGTTCAGTTTCAGCTTCTCTCTTTCTTCTTTTGAAAGATCTCGTCTTAACGACCACACTTTCCCATCCTCATCACTTTGTAATTTTCTGGCATTCCTGAGTACTTCTTCCATCTGTTTGGCACCGTTTAGGGTGATCCTCAAAGGTCGATCTTTCCTTTTCACGTATTTGCCTATTCTCCTGTAGTCGCACACATTCTTTATTGTAGTAAGACCTTCTACGAGGCCAACAATTTTATCTACTACTTTCGCTTCTTCTACAGCTCTTTCTGACCTAGATGTTATCTCCTTTTCTTTGCAACCAAAAATTATCAGGGATTTGCTCCGATCAACTGTGTTTTGCACCAACTTCGGGTTAGAGCCGGTTTGCACGGGAGCTGGGTGGCTGAGCGGACAGCACGCTGGACTTGTGATCCTGTGGTCCCGGGTTCGATCCCGGGCGCCGGCGAGAAACGATGGGCAGAGTTTCTTTCACCCTATGCCCCCTGTTACCTAGCAGTAAAATAGGTACCTGGGTGTTAGTCAGCTGTCACGGGCTGCTTCCTGGGGGTGGAGGCCTGGTCAAGGACCGGGCCGCGGGGACACTAAAAAGCCCCGAAATCATCTCAAGATAACCTCAAGAAGATAACCTCAAGATAACCTCGAGATAGATGCCAATTCCTTTCTCACTTCCAGTCTAATGTTTGTTTTATCCTGGTTGCTGCAGTGTTTGGCTTCCTTTACTGCTTATTAAATTTTTTCCTTCTCCTTGGCCACCTGTGCATAGGTGAATTGCATATCTTTCTTGCACTGTTCTATTCCCTGCGTAACTTCCTCCATCTGTGCTGACAAAAGCTGTTTCTCCTGTTGAATTTCCTTACCTAACCTATTGTAGTCATT